CCCCGGCAGAAGCACAGTCGGCCGGGGTTCAGGGCCCCAGGGAGAGAAACCGGCGTACAATGCAGGCAGAATCTAAGAGCACCGCTTTCTGCATCTTTCCCGGGAGTGAGCCGCCTCGGAATCCCAACCGCCTGAGATGTTGTTCCAGACTGGTTGGGATAAGACCGTTTACCGACATAACGATTGGAATGATTTCGGTGGATGTCACCCCCCACATTTCGGTCACCTCGTGAGCCAGGTCGAGATATTTTCTCTTTTTCTCAGTTTCGGCTTTCACGAGGTTCTCGTCATGCGGTATGGTGACATCCACCAAAAACACCCTCGAGAGTTCACCACGATATCAGGTTTGTTCGCAAGAACTGTCCTGTCCGTGATGATGGATCGGTCCCAGTAGAGCCTGACGCTGTCGCTTTCGAGGACCGGCAGGGGCTCGTACTTATAGTACGGTAACCTCTCATTCGCGAGGCCGTACTTCAGAGCTAACTCTTGATGGAGTATTTTGGCTACCTGGTTGTGTCTGTGCAAGTACTCAGTGTTGGCAAGAGCTGATTAACCCGAAAGCACATGTCTGAGTGACTCTCCGGGATGGCGACAAGCCCGACAGATATCCTCTGTGCCATCCTTCAGAATGTGCTTTCGGTAATTGTTCGTCTTAACCACCTGATCCTGTATTGCACAGACAACCCTCTGTCTCTCCGAAGAGATCGTCGAATTGTAGCCAGTGCACGGAGGTCTTCGCGTTGACGTTCGGCCCGTGAAGGGCTTTGAAGAACCTTCCGTGCAACTCCTTCTCTTTCCATACGGCCTCCCGCTGAGAGGTACCTAGGACTTCGGGTTTTTGCCAGTCCTCTTTAGCCAGAGATAGAGGGGTGAATCCTTTGTCACATTCTATGACCTCTCTATGCACACTCTCTAAATACACATTTTGTAGAAAGAACACGTGGAGATCGACCTGATGGGGTACGTTGCTATCAATGGGGCTGTTAGATCCCATTACTAACAAACCCTTCCCTCCGTCTTTAGGTGTTATATTCACCGTGTGTACTCTAATATATAAATTATTCTCACCATCATTATCAAATGAGCCATCATCCGTCCATTGTTGATTGTTGACTTGCTGATTTTTTTCCTGGCCTCTGATAAAAAGCATATTATGTACTCTTAGACATGTTTTTGTATGCAAATAGCCGTGCCTGAGCACTCAGGTGTTATTCCTCTGTACCCAGTAAATTCACGCCATATCCCACCCTTCAAACCGAAACACAGCCATGCAGACATAACTGCTTCACGGTTGAAACACGAATGGGACAGAGGTACCCAAGCAATCGACTTTTGTACAAAGTCTCCCTCTGGTCAAAGTCTCCCTCACATTTGATTGATCAGAATAAAAAGATGTATATCATCATCATCATATCAGCCTTTAACTGTCCACTGCTGAACATAAGCTTCCCCCTTACTAGGTTTTGCCAGTAGTTGCCATGTTTGGCGGCGGGTTGGCAATCGTAGTTAGGCTTTAGAGCTGTTTTAAGAGAGACGCTGCTAAGTATATACATGCCAAGCTAGATACCAGCTTGATTCTCTTCATCATAGTGCTATATCTCAGTCTCTACCATATCTCCGTCATAGTATCTCAGCATCTAATGATGCCATCTACTTGAAATTTGAAATGTTTTTACATATTTTTGGTGTAATTTTTTTTTAATATTAAACACTCTCTCCCTTATTCATAAGAACTAAGCTTCTACAAACCTACTTTAACTACATATTACACTGTTTTCTCACTTTCTTTCAAATAGAGAATTTAGTACAAAAGAAAGAGGCAAAACTGTTGAATAACTAAAATAAATTTGTGAGAGATACAACGCTTTTATGAAGTCTATTTTTACGAGTCTCTTTCATTAGCTAGAAAAAACAATTAAAACCTATTTATTTACTGTCCTATTATTTAAGCGGGCCGTGTGCTTGCCATCCCCGTTGTGTAAAAATAAACGTAAAGTCATTCAATCCGCACTAAACAATTAACCAACAACAGAATAAAGCGGTGGCATTCCTAATTAAAGTCAACGTGAGCGCACAATCAGTGCGCCATTGTGCGCGCAACAATATGGCGGCGGTTGCGCGCGCGCAGCCGCCCCGCTTCCGGAGCGACAAAAGCGCAGCGCGACATTTCGCCCATTATTTTGGTACGAAAATACGATAATTATGAGTATATTGCAGCTCGTATTACTGCCAAGATTGCAGCGGTACAGTGGCTCTCAAAGTTTGTTGTAAATAGTTTAGCTGTGTAAGTTTTTAATAAAATGTATCCACTTAATCATGGTGATGATTCAAAGGTTGAGATATCAGAGAGAGACTTTGTACAAAAGTCGTTTGGATGGGTACCATTATCTCATTCGTATTTTACGCGAAGCAGCAGTGCTTGCACGAATATTTTCTAGTTTTAAGGATGGGAGATGGTAGAGAGTTACCACTTCGTATTCGTGTACCGTCAGACTGTTTGCCATTTTACATTGCATAAAAACAATCGACGTATGTCCCGGCATAGAATGGACCACAGCTTTGAATATATCATTTATTAATTCTATAACTCTTTTTTTTTCTAATAACAATTAAAAGTAATCTCTCAACGCACCACACCGAGGCAGCGTACCCAAGATACTGGCAGCATTACCTCTTTGGATTGCCAACTTATCTATAACTCTTGTATTACAAAGAGTACCTACCATAAACATTAGTTTCTTCTAGTGGCGTATTTATACCATTTGAGGGCTGTGGCAAATTCTTTTGATGGGGCCCTATCAGTAAAAAAAAAATACTATTCAAGTAAAATAAAATACTCAGGTATAATGTAAAAAAAAAAAGAAAAAAAAAGAAAATAATATATAATATATATCGTCATAGTCGTAGAATATTGACGGACCTGACGAAGATTACATATAAAGATCCGTCAGTATTCTACCACTATGACGATATATTCATGAGCTCGCGGCTTCTTGAGCCGGGGCCCTTTTGGGTCGAGGGCATTTTGCCAGCTCTGCCACCCTATTGTACGCTACTGGTTTCTTCGTTCTATTCCCGTGGGTGTCGTAAAAGGCGACTAAGGGAATTTAATAGTCGAAAAATGGGCAGCAGCGTCCGTCTTAAAAGTTCAAGAGAGCATACGAACTGCAGTCGCCAACCTGCCTGCCTAGCGTGGCAACTATTGGAAAAATTTATGGGAGAGGTCTATGCCCAGTAATGGACAGTTAACCGTTGATATCATAAAAGAATCATAAAACAATACAACGTGCTTTTATTTTGAATTCCATAATGAGGTCATATCTTAGTTTTTATTTGGCAATATTTTAGTTTCTCGTAGAATCTCGAACTAAAATATTGCTAATGTTTGGGAAACTCTGTCCCGCTACTCAGGGCGGGTCAAGGTTATAATTTTCTGTTCCAGTCCAGCCCCCACGGAGCGCAGCGTGAGCATGCCGCGGCTGCATAATAGCTGGCAAATAGCACTAATCATTGTTCTCGGGTTTAGCCGTCAACTTGTTGACGTTTAACGTTTTCGGTTACACGATACTTACCAATGCCAAGACTTTTTTAACGATTTCTCTTGTAGAAAGAGAAACTTATTTTAAAATGCTTTATTTAATAAAGAGGGACTTTATTTTTAACAAATACAGTATAGGATGAGATTATTTAAAAGTAATTCCTTTCGCTCGCAATGAGGGAAGGTACCTCTGCCCCATTCGTGTTTCAACCGTGAAGCAATTGTGTTTGCATGGCTGTGTTTCGGTTTAAGGGGTGGGATATGGCGTGAATTTACAGGGTACAGAGGAATAATACCTGAGCCCTCAGGAATGGCAACGCATGGGGGGTATCATGGGCGAAACAGTATACTCTGTTATGTTCATGGTACTGCCCATGTGTATAGGCGACGGTTACCACTTTCCATCAGGTGAGGCCGTCAGCTTGTTTGCCATTCTAAGTTGTATAAAAACAAAAGAAAAGTAATTGAATAATAACTATCGTGAGTCATACTGTATTCTTATTATTTATATCAGTTTAAAATCAATTCTGCCATAATATAACTATTATAATAATAAAATATACCTATTATAATTATGATCGCCGACGCCACGATAAATAACTCTATTCTATTTTATGGCATCGCCGGCAACGTGAGTAAAGATTGTGTCCCACAAAAAACCGACTTCAGTATAACCCTTTCAGACCCAAGATTTTATATTTTCGTGTTTTGGAGCCAAGCCATCTTGCCGGCACGCACGAGACTACTGTACCGCTAAAATGATTTCTTATTGGCTGGTTTAGAGTCTCACTATCATGTTATTTCAGCTTCGTGAGTAAAAATTAATTGCGCGCGGTTTTAGAATTTTTTAATGTTACAACTCACGCCCGTATCGTTCAGGTCTGAAAGGGATAAAACTAAACTGTTAAACCGATTTTGATAAAATGCCTGCAAGACCAATCTGTAAATATATCCTTTTGGATAAAAAAAAATATTATACAAATTTGTTTTAGAACTAGCTGAAGTTATGACGTAACAAATATTAAATATATAACAAAAATACTTTTTTACCGATTTTAAAAAGTATTTTTGAAGTCGGTTAATAAATCCGAGTTTTTTTTAATGGGTGGTAATGGTATGGTAACCCCGATTGCGCTAACGGGATACGCTTGCGGAGCACCAGTGAAGGGTGATAGATGAGAATGAAAACAGGCCAGTTAGCCCATCATGATAAATTCATCAGGAATTAACCATGATAGTTTCCAGGGGGAACCGCGAGGAGGTCGACCTGGTTGGGTATATTGTTAGCAATGGGATTCTCAGTCTCCATTACTAACAATCCCTTTCCCCCCAATAAATTCGAGTAATCACAATTAAAATTGTGACTTAACTATTTTTCTGTCGTTATTCATAATGCATTGGTTGTAAAACCACCGCCATACGTAGACCAGAATAGATTTGAGAATAAATAAATAAAAGTATGTTTAATATTATTTGTATAATATATATTTAATTATACAATATTGCATCACACTTCAACGATACGTGTCTATTGATGGGTAGTCAATGTACAACTTCTATACAAATTACACTTTGAAATTCAAAACAAATGTTTCAAGTAGGTAGCTATACAATTCAGGTAGTGTACCTGATGAAATGTTCGAGAAAGAATAGTTATCTTTCGTAAAATTAATACTCGTACCTGCTAAAATTAAACAAGTCTTTTATCACTTTCTTTCAAATTGGGCAAAATGAGAAATAATTTCAATAACTAAAACTATTTTTTCTTTTTAGAAATTGGACGTTTTTTTTTATGTACGAAATACTAAATGAAAACTTGTAAATGCTTTAAACAGTCTAAAAACTTGTTCGTTGCACTGAAATTATATTTGTGAGTATATGCTGTGAACTGCAATCACAGACGAGATAATCAGAGATACAATGACTGTTTGTAGTCCACATTTAGTTGATATAAAGCTTCTGATTACCTCGAAACGAAATACAAGTTTGAATATATTTGATTATTTATTAACTCTATAACTCTTGCTTTACAAATAGTCCCACAGGCATTGATTGTCTCGGTGTTGTATGAGTTATTTATAGGGCGAAATCACAAAATCAGGAGTGTTCTTCATGTGAACTTAAACATTATTCATTTTAAATGTAAATGACTATAAATATTTGGGAGAAAATGTTCAATTTCACATACTAATATGGCCTAAGTAACTACGTGAGGCGAGCATAGACTTTCTATACTAACACGGCACGTTCAGATGTTAATATTCGATTTTTGATAAGTGTTTTTGATAAATTAACACTTTTTTAGAAGGATGCTGCTGATTTCAAAAACAATAATCATACATTTAGCTTTCACATATAGTTGTTTATGCAGACAAAGTTCAATAAAGCATACGGCTTACCAGATGATAAGCGGCGACCTCAGAACATCACTTGTGCCTTTTTTATCTCTTGCAACAAAAAGAAACTGCAACATCACGCAATAGTTTAATTACTTTCCTCTTCAAAGCGAAACATCTAACTATTTCATACATCATTCTGAATATTTTATATTTAAATATGTACTCGGATAAATACATATTTAAGTTTATATACATATTTGTCAATAATGTAACGTTTTGTATTATTTACATAATTGCCTATTAAAGTTTGATAGCTTTGTATTTACACTCGCCGTTCAATTTTGAACTAAATTTGTTTATTTTTTTGTTAATTTTTAATCCAAGAACTACAGTCACGTTAAATACAGTATGTTACTAGTTGTAAAACTCTCAGTTGTTTAAATTCAGAAAGATTGTGGATAATCAAATTTACATCAAGATAAATACGAAATAAGTGATATAACATGAAGAACAGTCTAAACCGGTGTTTCCCAACGTGAGGCCCACGCCCCACATGGGGCAATTTGATAGTTAAGGGGGCAATTAAAAATGGACTCGAAGCGATTTTAACCATTTTGCTCCGGGCCATTCAAATGCAATGCTACCAGTAGATATCGGTACTAAATAAAACAAAAAAAAAATGTTAAAAATGCTGTAAATATTTATTAGGTATAATTTTGTTTGACGTTACCAAAATATCAACTGGGCGATTAGAGTCGTCAAGTAAACTTTGTCGGGAAAAATTATGTATGGGGCCATAAAAATTTTAGAAATGTTCAAGTGGGGCATGGCACGAAAAAGGTTGGGAAACACTGGTCTAAACAATGAACTAGCTGAAATAACTACCAGTATTTCAGTTGCTCTGATTTATTTTTGTTATGATACCACGAGAGATTATGAGAATTTATTGAGAACAATTGTGGATTAACACTTGTAAACATTTTTCGCATGGCAACGATTCGTGGACATTGTTTTGTAATGGTATGTATGTATGTAACTCAGACACTTCTTATATCACTAACCAGAGCTGAAAAATTAAATAAATTCACACTATAGTTCTGAATATTGGTAGAGGCCAAGGTATATCTATATGTACCACCTATATTTGATTCGTAAATATACATCTATCACATAATATTACGCTACAAACTAAATAAAATCTTCAATATACATAATAAATAATTTTCTAAAATTAATAGGTACATCAAATCCAACATCAATTCACTCATTAGCTTCGAAATTGTTGTAATAAGAGGCGCCTGGTCACAACAGTTTTGAGAAAAATGTATTGGGTGCTGCCATCCGCGCTGGGTCCAGTAGACGAGGGTACGACGTTCCCAGGAACGGTCTGAAAGCAGCTCTGCTTGCGTCTTCCCCGGGACTGTTAGTGGCTTCCTGTGTGGACTCGTCCTGTGTGTCCAAAGACGAGTCGCCATTGTTAGAATTTACAGCACCTAAATGCAACTTTCTCGTGTGTTTCTTAAGATCGAAATTTCTGCAGAAACCTTTTGCGCATATATTACACGTAAACGGCTTTCTTTCGTTGTGCGTGTGCATATGGAAGGTCAGATTGTATATCTGGTGGAATGCTTTATTGCAAATATTGCATTTGTAGGCCTTTTCACCGCTGTGCGTTAATCTATGGTTCTTGTAGTTGCCTTTCTGATGGAAGCCTTTGCCACAGAATTCGCAAACAAACGGTTTGTATCCGGCGTGGATTCGCGCGTGAGTGTTCAGCGTTGATGATCTGTTAAACGCTTTTCCACATGTCAGGCATTTGTGAGGCTTTTCCGATGTATGTATGATCTTATGCCTGCACAGTGTGGACGCTTGTCGGAATCCCTTGCCACATATTTTACATACGAACGGCCTCGCTCCAGTGTGCACCGGCATATGCCGAGTCAGATTATAGTGAGCGTTGAAGACCTTCCCACAGTCGCCACAAGCGAAACTCTTGTTCTTTGCCGGAGATGGTGTTGGCCCTGTAGTGGATGATACAGCATGATCGGCTGCTGGCTGCCTAGGACTTGGAGGTCTTTGGACGGGGGACGATGGCGCCGGCGGTGGCCTCGGCATATGTAGTTGGTGAGCATAAGTTAAGGATACTAAGTCGGGACTATAATACAGTAGAGGGTAATGAGAAACCAGCTGTCGTCTAGCGGAAGGTATGTACTGTTTGAATGCGGAGTCCAATAGCTGGGCTCCGTATGAGAGGAACCCTGGCGGAGGGGGAGGTTCTGGTGACACAGATTTCTTTCGGTCTGGTTCCATTAGTCTCGCTATAGAGAAGTTGAGCACTGGTGCAGGAGTGTCTGGGGATTTGGCCCGGTCGGGGGATGACTCCCGCGGGCCGTCTGCTCGCCCGCTCGACTGGAATGGCTGCATCTTGGGGTTGTATTACATCTGCAACAAGGGAATTTATAAAATGTTTGTAGTATATAAATTAAGTAGAGCTGTGTGAATACAGTTAATAGGAACAAAACATTGATTAAAATTCTGATATAAATGAGTATATTTAACCTTTATCTAATCTTAAAGTCCATGAAAACCATAGATGAAAACGTAAAAATAAATAAATACGCTAAAACAATTAAGTAACTATACTAAGATATAAGCTTGGCGTGAATTTACTGGGTACAGAGGAATAACATTTGAGTCCTCAGGAATGGCAACGCATGGGAGGTGTCTTGAGCGAAACAGTATACTCTGTTATGTCCATGGTACTGCTTATGTTTATAGGCGACGGTTACCATTTTCTATCAGGTGGGCCGTCAGCTTGTTTGCCATTCTAAGTTGTATAACAAAAAAAGCTTTTCCTGCGATGTTAGTGGAATAAATACCAAAAATAATTTATTGCACAAGAACAATAATACTGACACAATAATGGGACAAATATGTCAGAGAATGCACTGGTTTTGTCTTCAGACTAAAACTTAAATAAGCATTGCCTATACATACACGACTAAGGGAACTTAATATCTGAGAAATGGACAGTAGCGTCCCTCTTAAAACATTACCAAAGCCTAACTGCGTTTGTCAACTCGCCTGCCGAGCAAAGCAAACCTACCGGCAAACCCTCACTCATGAGGGAGGTTTTTTTTTTGGTGGATGAAAATGGAATGGTAACCCCACTTGCGCTAATGGGATACGCTGGGCATCAGTGAAGGGTGATCGATGAAAATGAAAACAGGCCAGGTAGCCCATCATGATGAATTCATCAGGAATTAACCATGATTGTTTCCAGGGGGAACCACGAGGAGGTCGACCTTGTTGGGTATATTGCTAGCAATGGGATTTTTAGTCTCCATTACTAACAATCCCTTTCCCCCCACATGAGGGAGGTTAATGTTCGACAGTGGACAGTTAATGACCGATGGGGATATTTTTGTTCCTTTAATTTTGAATAAACTTTTGTAAGACATTTTTTACAAATGGGTCATTCCATTTGAAATCGTATAATCGGCTAAGCTGACCCATTTTAGATTTTAGTGTAACTTTGAGGGACTCTTCTCTAGGGTTCCTAAGAATGAAATTTACACGAATTTGATTTTTATAAGCGCTTGATACCGCGCATTTAAATAAAATCTTCAAAATATCGATTTTTTTTAGTTTAATTAATTTTTCCTCAAAGTTTTTTCTTTTTGAAGATTATCCCATTATTGAACCGTAATTCTTAGGTGAATAGATAGTAGTTTAAGTATACCAAATAATAATTTGCTCAACAAATACCTACCATTAGCGACAGCGTGCTGAAAATGAGTGTTTTTTAGTCATTTTTCGTGAATTTTAAGGGACTCTAGTGTCTTAACTGTTTGGAGTTAACAACTTCTGGTCGGCAGGAATTAAGTACACATAACATTATTTTTAGACGATTTTAAATGGAATGACTCAAATGCCCAAGTCTATGTAGCATTCACAGATCTATATAGCACTTTATCTGTCATAGCGCGACTTTTCTCTGTTATCCTACATTTTTTTTATTTTTTATTCTCTTATCTAACTTGTTCTTCCTCACGTTTTGATGTTTACGAATCTGATCTACCCGGAAAACAATATTTTCACCATAATTGTCTGTAACCCCCGCTTTACATCTCCCATGGTACTATAGATTTATGGATGTGGGCGTGACAGCGGTGCGGTACACAGATCGAGAGGCTGTGTTGTGCTTGTTTTAAGTAAATTGGAAAGCAGAGCGAAGCGTTGTGTTTGACGCGGTACCCTTTTTGATTCGGTGAAACGTTCGCGCGCTATTGTATGCAAATCGTTTACAAACGTCGTGCGACGTGCGGTCTGTCTATGGATTTTTCATGTGGAATTGAAACACCCTCCCTGTTTGAATGCCTCTGGGATATGGTTTTTGTAATTAATGAAAATAAATATATTGCTTATTTCATTTGTCAACTTCGTAAGTTCTCGTTTATAATATTCTAGAGCGATTCGAACAATTGTAGACTTTTGCAGAGCATATCAGAATCTGATATAAGTAACTGAAAGTAAGTCTAGCGATGTCTCTGGTTATTATGTAATTTGTAAGTGGATGGAAATGGAATCCTAATAGTACTAGTGAGGGATGATAGGTGAGGACACAATGAGGTCAAATAATGATTTACCAGAGGGAGACTTTGTACAAAAGTCGATTGCTTGGGTACCTCTGTCCCATTCGTGTTTCAACCGTGAAGCAGTTGTGTTTGCATGGCTGTGTTTTGGTTTGAAGGGTGGGATATGGCGTGAATTTACTGGGTACAGAGGAATAACACCTGAGTCCTCAGGAATGGCAACATATGGGGGGTATCATGGGCGAAACAGTATACTCTGTTATGTCTATGTTACTATAGGCGACGGTTACCATTTTACATCAGGTGGGCCGTCAGCTTGTTTGCCATTCTAAGTTGTATAAAAAAAAATGACCTTGACAGTATGATTTTTATATATTTTCATATAAACATCGAAAAGAAAGTATTTTTTTCTCTCGATTTCGTTAAATTTGCACCAAATCAGAGAAATGCCCGATACCGCAAAATTGCTTTCCGTCTGTCGTGTCTGTATTATGCATTGTTGTCTGCAGTCACGGTCGTTAGCGTTAGAATCCTTTACAAATCAACGCATAACCACTTTAGACCCCCAATTCTTAAAACAAAGTCACAGCAAGAGGGTTGATTGCAGCAGCAATTAAACGGGCACAATAGTCCCCTCGGTGCAGGGTTAACACGCGAAATATGCTCGTGCGGTCGCGAATGGGTTTAAAACGTATGTAAGATGAATTGAAATTCAAATATATGACTATATTAAAACAAATTATGAAAGAATTTTTTGCTATGATCTAACGCTAGTTCTGAATCAATTTTATTAATTATTATTTCAATTAATAGTGTTAAATTGATTGATTGAATTGATAAATGATTGATTGGTCACAAATTGAATTAATTTTTTATTTATTTATTTATTTATTCATCAGTACAAATATGTGTACATGGCGGACTTAATGCTAAAAGCATTCTCTCCCAGTCAACCGTAGGGAAGTGTCAGAATACTCGAATGCGGTACTACTAATTATTGATATACATACATACTAAAATTACATATATAAACGAATAAATATATATGAATAACAAATATACTTACACATATATGATATATACTATATTATACACGAATTTGGGAATAATATAAAGCACTTACTGCTCGGATAAAGTAAGAAAGTGAACGTGAACGCTTTTTTTGAAAGACGGTTTAGTCGGTAGTCTCTTAATGGCATCAGGAAGCGCGTTACTAATTTTTTTTTTGAGGAATAAAATATTATTTAATTATTTCTTAATTTTGACATTTTATTTTATAAATTTATTAATGTTGACACTTCTATGTCATTGGTTTTGTAATTTAATTACTTTATAGATTAAATTTGACATTGTTTGTGTAGATTTTACTTATTAACGGCCTATAGTGTGTCCAATACACTCGTACGTATACGTACTACATCTCTACTACGTGTACCTACATCCTCTGTAACCTATAGGCATTATTCTATAATAATAAATAAATAAAAATAAAAAAGTGAGTGTTTCAAACACCATGTATCATTAATACATGGTGTTTGAAACACTCACTTTGATAGTTCGTAGCTATGATAAAGAGGAAGACCGAGGAATAACTACATGGGACAGATAAAGGAAACATTAGGTGTCATGTCGTATAGGGAGATTAAGGATATGGCCTGGGATAGAGCTGGCTGGAAGAGGATGCATGAATTACTTGCAATGACAAGAGGAAACTCTTAAATAAAAAGAGAAGAGCTATGATAAAGATGGAGTAATGCGCCCGGCTTTGCTTATGGTGTACAATGGTGGGACACCAATGTAGGTTACTACTACATATTTAGTTTCAAACCACATAAAAACTTGCTCTAAAATTACGCATAAACCAATTAAAAGAATCGAACAACTTATACATCGTTTTTTTTTTCAAGTAGCCACTCAGAGTGGCGGATACCATCAAGCCCGCGACGGCCAGGTGCTGGCAGAGCTCTGTTGTGCCAACAATGCCCGCTCGAGTTCCCTAACACAACGGAGAGTATTATTGTTTTGTTCGCTTTATATCGAGCAATCGACCGTTGGCTGTAATTAACAATTGGGAATTGTTCCGTGACCCCGTTGGCTTAGTTGTGAGTGTGGTAGCTTTCTACACGGTCGCAAGTTCAATTCCCGTACTGGGATATTTGTGTAGCTTTGGATTGGTAGAAGAAATCGTATCTAGTTCAGTCGAGATATTTTGATAGGTGTTTTTTGGGTTGATGGGTGAAAATGGAATGGTTACCCCGTTCGCGCCATCGGTATACACCGACGAGGCACCAGTGGTAGATGATAGGTGAGAATGAATGCAGGTCAGTTGGCTCACCATGATGGATTCGACAAAAATTAACCATGATGGTTTTAAGAGGAACCGCGAGAAAGTCGACCTGGTTGGGTATATTGCTAGCAATGGGATTCTCAGTCTCCATTACTAATAACCACTTTCCCCCCTTACGATTAGGGTTAAAATTAACTGTAATTCAATATCTTATTATTGAGCAGTCAAACTGTCCCCGGATATCTTCAATAATAGTAATTGTTACTATTTGCAATTATTTGCATGTTTGCATTGTTTGCATGGCAACGTATGAGAGATGCTAGCATGAGCGTGTCATAGTATATTACGTGATTTCCATGGTATTAATTTCCATACTTTATTGGATGGACCGTCAACTTGTTTGCTTTTTAATATATCACAAAAAAATGTCCACATTTGACGAAGATATCGCATACAAATACACACAAAACAGAAATATAGACAAATCGAGAATCACTTAAAAAATCGTTTATAGAAGTACATATTCGTGAGTACTCGTAGTTTAGCTCTCTGTCTATACC